ATAACAAAGATAAGAGCAGAAACTAATGATATAGAAATAAAAAAACCCAGTAGAACAGGTCAATGAAACTAGGTGCTGGTATTTGAAAGAATTAATAAGATTGATAAACCCCTAGCCAGATTTATCAAAAAGAAAAGAGAAAGGACCCAGATTAATAAAATCATGAATGAAAGAGGAGAGATCACAACCAACACTGTAGAAATACAAACAATTATAAGAGAATATTATGATCAATTATTTGCTGACAAATTAGGCAATCTGAAAGAAATGGACACATCCCTGTAAACTTATAAACAACCAAAACTGAAACAGAAAGAAAGGGAGAACCTGAAGAGACCCATAACCAGCAAAGAAATTGAATCAGTAAACAAAAATCTTCTAACAAACAAGAGTCCAGGGCCAGACTGCCTCCCAGAGGAATTCTACCAAACATTTAAAGAATTAATACCTATTCTTCTGAAGCTGTGTCAAAAAACTGAAATGGAAGAAAACTTCCAAACTCTTTCTATGAGGCCAGCATTACCTTGATCCCAAAACCAAAGACTCAACCATATAGGAGAATTATAGACCAATATCCCTGATGAACATGGATGCCAAAGTGCTCACCAAGATACTAGCTAATAGGATCCAACAGTGCATTAAAAGGATAATTCACCACGACCAAGTGGGATTTATTCCTGGGCTGCAACAGTGGTTCAACATCCTCAAATCAATCAGTGATACAGCAAATTAATAAAAGAAAGGACAAGAACCATGTGGTCCTCTCAGTAGATGCAGAAAAAGCATTTGACAAACTACAGCATCCTTTCTTGATTAAAACTCTCTGCAGTATAAGGGATGGAAGGAACATACATCATCATAAAATCCATATATGAAAACCCACAGCAAATATCATCCTCAATAAGGGAAAAGTGAGAGCTTTTCTTCTAAGGTCAGGAAGATGACAGGGATGCCCACTCTCACCACTGCTGTTCAACATAGTACTTGAGTCCTAGTCTCAGCAATCAGACAACAACAGTAACAAAATAAAAAGCATTCAAGGGATCCCTGGGTGGCGCAGCGGTTTAGCGCCTGCCTTTGGCCCAGGGCGCGATCCTGGAGACCCGGGATCGATCCCACGTCGGGCTCCCTGCATGGAGCCTGCTTCTCCCTCTGCCTGTGTCTCTGCCTCTCTGTGTGTGTGTATGTCTCTCATGAATAAATAAATAAAATCTTAAAAAAAATAAATTGGGAACAAAAAATAAATTTTCAAAAAAAAAAAAAAAAGAAAGAAAACCAAGGCTGGAGGCATCACAAATCTGGAATTTAAGCTCTATTTAAAGCTGTAGTCGTCAAGACAGTATGGCACTGGCACAAAAACAGACACATAAATCAATGGAACAGAATAGAGAACCCAGACATGGACCCTCAACTCTATGGTCAACTAATCTTCAACAAATCAGGAAAGGGTAATCTATGGAAAAAAGACAGTCTGTTCAACAAGTAGCGTTGGGAAAATTGGACAACCACATGCAGAAGAATGAACCTAGACCATTTTCTTAGGCCATATTCAAATATAAGCTCAAAATAGATGAAAGACCTAAATGTGAGACAAGAATCCATCCAAATCCTAGAAGAGAACACAGGCAGCAACTGCTTTGAACCTCAGCTGCAGCCACCTCTTGCTAGACACGTCTCCAAAGGCAAGGGAAACAAAAGCATAAATGAACTATTGGGACTTAATCAGGATAAAAAGCTTCTGCACAGCAAAGCAAAGAGTCAACAAAACCAAAAGGCAACCTACAGAACTGGAGAAGATATTTGCCAATGTCTTATCATCAGATAAAGGGTTAGTATCCAAGATCTATAAAGAACGTTCAAACTCAACACCCAAAGAACAAAAAAAATCTAGGCAAGAAATCGACAGAAGATACGAACAGACATTTCTCCAAAGAAGACCTATACATGGCCAACAGACACATGAAAGAATGTTCCACGTCACTCGGCTTCAGGGAAATACAAATCAAAACCACAATGAGATACCACCTCACACCAGTGAGAATGGCCAAAATAAACAATTCAGGAGACAACAGGTGTTGGAGAGGATGTAGAGAAAGGAGGACCCTCTTACACTGCTGGTAGGAATGCAAACTGATGCAGCCATTCTGGAAAACAGTATGGAGGTTCCTCAAAAAGTCAAAAATAGAAATACCCTATGGCCTAGCAGTTGCACCACTAGATATTTATCCAAAGGATGCAAACATAGTGATTCAAAGGGGAACATGCACCCCAACGTTTATAACAGCAATGTCCACCAGAGCCAAACTATGGAAAGAGCCCAGATGTCCACAGACAGACAAATGGATAACAAAGATGTAAGGTGTGTGTGTGTGCGGTGTGTATAATGGAATGTTACTCAGTTATCAAAGAGAATGAAATCTTGCCATCTGCAACGACATGGATGGAACTAGAGGGTATTATGTTAAGCAAAATAAGTCAGTCAATGAAAGACAAATGCCATATGACTTCAGTCATGTATGGAGTTTAAGAAACAAAACACATGAACATAGGGGAAGGGGGAAGGAAAATAAGATGAAAATTTAGAGAGAGGCAAACCATAAGAGATGCTGAACTCTAAGAAACAAACTGAGGGGTGCCTGAAGTAAGTGGGGGAGAGATAACTGAATGATGTGCATTAAGGAGCACACTTGATGCAATGAGCACTGGGTGCTACATGCAACTGATGAATCACTAAATTATACTTCTGAAACCAAAAAAATAATATTTAATATTTATTAAGCTTTTCAGGGAGAAGAAAATGACATATATCAGAAACTTGGGTCTCCATTTAGAGGAGATGAGTATCATAAAAGGAATAAATAAAGGCAAAATTTTTTAAGTGTTCTAAAAATAATAGTTTTAAGTAATAGAAGTAAAAATGTGGTGTGTAATTATACCATATAAAATTTAATGACTGGAAGAAAAATCATAGGGGATTAGAGGAAAGAATTGGAAATATTCTGTTATAAGGTTTATGTACCACACTTGAAGCAGAATAGTCTTATGTGGAGGTGGAATCAGATAAGAAAAAAATCTAGAGATCACAAACTCTGGGCAAGCACCAAAGAAAAATTTAAAAGGTGTAATTGAAATTTTAAGAAAGGAGACAAAATGGAATCACATAAAAGGAACAATTAATTAAAACAAGAAAAGGAAGTGCCTGTGTGGCTCAGTTGGTTAAACATCTGTCTTTGGCTCGGGTCATGATCTCAGGGTCCTGGGATAAAGCCCCGCATCAGACTTCCTGCTCAGTGGGGAGTCTGCTTCTCCCTCTCCCTCTGCCTCTCCCCACCCATGCATTCTCTCTGTCTATCAAATAAATAAATAAAATTTAAAAAATATCCCTTTAAAAAATAAAACAAGAGAAGGCATAAAGAGGAAAAAAATAAGAAATGTAACATATGGTCATATTAACAAAAATGGTAAATATTCATCTAAAAATATCAAGTCACTTTATATATAAATGGCCTAAATATACCAGTTTTTTTTTAAAAAAAGATCATCAGTGTGAATTTAAAAAACAAAGATCCAACTTTATGTTTTCTATAAAAGAGTGATTTAAACATTTATGGGCACAAGGTGTTTAAGTACAACATCTGAATAACTTTTGGCTGACCATTAACATATATTGGTCCAATTGACCTCAAGGAAGCTAATCTTTAAAGTAAAAAATATAAGAATAACAACAAAACACAAAGACAGAAATTTTATTGCTAACAGACCTACCTTACAAAAGATACTAAAGAAAGTCCTTAGTCTAAAAGGAAAGACACTGTTTGGTAACTTGAACCCAGAATAAACAGAAATAAACAGCACTAGTAAAGGTATTTATGCAAGTAAACATAAGAGAGAGTATATATCATTTTATCTTTTTTTTCTTTTAAAGAGCAACTATATAAAAATAATTTAAAAACTATATTGTAAAAAAACTATATTGTTTGGCTTGTAATAGATTAAGATGTAAATCATATCCCATCAATTGGACAAAGGATGGAAGAGCAAAGCTTCCCTGTGTTGTTGGAATTAAATGATTATTAATCTAAAGTACATTACCTTAAGTTGTACCTCTCACAGAGTAGTTAATAAGAAATAACTCCAGAAATCATAGTAAAAAATCAACAGTTCAATCACAGTAATTTAAGTTGATCACAGTAATTTTAAAAATGATAAATATAAATAGATGAAACAGTCCAGTCAAAAGACAAAGACTATTAGACTAGATGAAAGAACAGAATCCAAGGATATGCCATCTACATTATATGTTACATTAGATGTGCAGAAATAAATAGGTTGAAAGAATAAAAGGATGAAAAACTGAACAACGCAAATGGCAACCATAAAAGAGTTGAAATAGCTATGCTTAGAAAAGGAAGGCTATTTCATAATGATGGAAGAGGGTCAACTCATGAGAAAGACATAATAATTAGAAACGTGTAAAATACACATCTAACAAAAGAAAGTCTTCTCAACGTATCCTATGAGACTGGTATCTTACATCAAACAAGACAAATACTTCTTAAGTGAAGAAATTCCATTACTATGCAATGTCTCTAACAAATATAGATGCAAAATTCCTCAACAAAATGTGAGCAAACCAAACCCACCAGGACAGGCATACACAGTTTACTGCACTTTTCTTTATTGTACTTCACAGGTATTGCATCATTTTTAACAATTGAACATTTGTGGCATACCTTGCATCAAGCAAGTCTGTTGGTGCCATTTTCCCAACAGCATCTGTTTACTTCATGTCTCTGTGTCACATTTTGGTAGTTCTCACAACATTTCAAACTTTTTCATTATGATTCTATTTGCCATAGTGATCTATGATCAATGATCTTTGATGTTACTTTTGTAATTGTTTTTAGGCACCATGAACTCTATCCACAGAAGATGGTGAATTCAATAAATGTGTCAGAACACTTCTCCATCGACCAACCATTCCCCCATATCTCTCTCACCTTGGGCCTCAGCTTAGTTCCTGAGGTTTAAGGAAAGAAGCCGTCTCCATAACATAAAAGTGCAAGGTGAAGCAGTAAGTGCTGATGCAGAAGCTGCAGCAAGGTATCCAGAAGATCTGGCTACATTAAATAACAGAGTCTCAATGTAGATGCAACAGCCATTCCGTTTTTGGGTATCTACTCAAGAGAACTGAAAACATTGTTCAGCCAAAAACTTGTACATGAATGTCCATAGCATTTTCTTCATAATTGCCAAAGGGTGGGAATAAACCTAATGGATATAAACTGATAAATAAATAAATGAAATGCAGTATATACAATATAGTAGCATATTATCCAGCAATGAAAAGTAATGAAGTACTGATTGATACTACGATGGGAATGAACCTTGAAAACATCATGCTAAGAAGCAAGTTGCAAAAGACCACACACTGTAGGATTCCATTTATATGAAATGTCCAAGAATAGATAAATCCATGGGCACACAAAAGGGTCACATTGTCTAATGCTAGGGGTAGTAACAAGGATTAACTGCAAATGGGCAATGGAGATGTTACTGAGGTGATGGAAATGTCAAAAACTGGATTATAGTAATGGTTGCAACACTCAATAAATTCACTAAAAGTCCCTGAAGTCTACACTTAAAATGGCTCAATTTTATGGTATGGAAATCATATCTCAATACAAATTTTTCCCCTATTTTTTTGCCTAACCCCCCTCCCTCCCCTCTGGCAATCACCAGTTTGTTCTCCATTTAATAGTCTGTTTTTGTATGTGTTTGTTTTGTTTTTTAGATTCCACATAGAAGTGAAATTATATGATCCTTGTTCTTCTCTGTCTGACTTTTGTCACTTAACATCATACCCTCTAGGTCCATCCATGTCATCTCAATACGGAAAATGTCAAAGACACTCTGGGTGGCAGAGAAAAGAAAGTTCATGTTTTTCACGACGTGTTGAGGATGGTACAGAGCCCGTTGGGCTGTTGTACGCTGCTGTTGCCGCGGAGACGACAGGAGTGGTGGTTTTCCCATGAGGGCTGAGGACCGCGCAATGACTTGGATCCTTTAACATAAAAATTTATTTGAATGACTCAGTAAGTAGGCCACAGAGATGAAGAGAACAGCAGAGGGCACACGGCCAATGACGATGCGTGTTGACTCCACGTCTCTCGGTGAGGCCTGACTAACGCACAGGGTCCCTATGCAGTCGAGTCACCATGTCGTACACCCGAAACCAACAGGACACGGTATACCCACTGAAACCGACACAACATCGTGAATATCCATGCCACTTCAGTGATCAATAAAGTCATCTAAACAAATGAATAAGAACCCGTGCCGCTGGCTCGAAATGCAGAGTAGCGGTGGGGGCAAGGAGAAGTGGAAAGGTCTAAAAATACTCGGGAAGCAGAAGTGGCAGCGTCCTGAATGGACGTCGGGAAGAGAGAGGATGCCTCCGGCTCAGCGTGCTTCCCTGGAATTGCTGCTCTCCTCCCAAACTTACTGTCTTCCTTCACGGCTCATCTCAGTGAGCGGATCAGCCTGCTGGCACAGAGCAAGCACTCATTGATCGCCTTTGGAGTGAAAGGATAAATGAATAGAGTAGAAATAGGGCCAAACGGAGCGCTTGCCGGCGCCTGCCAAACAGCCAGGCCTAAACTCACCGTCAAGGTCGCCTCAGCAGAAGTCTATCACGGCCTCCCGGTCACCTTATCAACCGTCTGGAAAAGCACCAGGTCCCACAGGGTCCAGGAGAACACCTGCCTTCCTATAACGGGCACTCCCTGCCTAGAAGCTGCAGGTGTGCCACAGGCCGGGCTTTGCCACGAGCCTCTCGTCCTGTAAGTTCTTTACGTGAGGGAGGTGGCAGATTGTACGGCCCATATGAGTACAGGGCGCATTTGGTGTGGCTGGAACAGGGTCACAGTGGCCCCCAACTGGTGGATCTACGTTCACTTTGGCTTCAATCAGAAAGAGTCTCTTCTCACCAATGAGGTTTATTAATCCAGCCCCTTCCCCCATCATTGTGTTGGCAGGGAAAAAATACAACCGGCAGAAAAAGTGCAGACACCCGGTGTCAGTTTGGGTATTTTCTTGCTTCTCCCAGGGCTGACAAGCAGAGATACAGAACTGCTTGTGGTTCTTGGTACAGATACTAAAACTAGGACGTGATCCGTCCCAGTGCAGATTTCTGAGAAATAAGAATGAGATGAGTCAAGTAAAGGATGTCCCCTGGAGTGAACTGATGCAGCAAACATCATCCTAGTTTCCTTTCATCATGCTAGTTATTAGGTAGAGTATAACTGCTTTAAGTATGGTGATAACATATTCCCCTGTTTGTGGTTGTGAGGATCACAGCGTTTTGCATAATACATGGTTGCGATAATCATCGTAAGCAGTCACTTAATGTGGTGGCATTGGAATGACGGCACAATGTTGGTCAATAGTGTTTAGAATTGTTTGTCTTTATAGTGAATGTAAAATAAACTGTAATTTTTCCTACAGTGATTCCTGAAAGTGCCATATCTGCTAAGAAGCTACTCTGAGAGTGTTACATGGTAATGGATCATGCAAGTGTCCCTACATATGATTGCTGAGGTTTTTCTTTCAGCGATGAGTTAACAGTTAAATCACCCAAGTCTTTTATAATGAGACTTTAGCTGGGTAGCACTTTGTCCATGCAACATAACGTCTTGGTCAATCACCTGGTTAAAATATTCAGCAAAGCATTCACGAAAGCATGGTTTAGTGTTGACATTCAAGTAAGGCACTGAATGAATTTTTCCTAGGTTTCGGGGCAGTCAGTAGGTAAAATACACTTAAAGCATTTTTTCAGAGTTGTTTTAGTAATGGAGAGTAGCTCCTGGACGAAGTTTTCTAATGCCCTGCCCTGTCTGCCGACTGCTGCCAGGCATTCTTCCCCAGGAGGGATAGACAAAGGGTGAGATCTGGGCAGAGAACACTAGTGGATAGTAGAACGCAAGAAAGTGAGTGCTGCAGGCTCCTGCAGACCGCTGAGTTCCAGCTTCCATTCCGCCGCCCAGCAGTGAGGCTAGAACAGGGTAGGGACTCGCAGAAAGCTAGAAACCAAGTCGGTGTCAGACCCGAGTGGGGGGGGGGGAGTCCGATCGAGTTTGCAACAATGTATACTGGGCGCCAGTCCCAACGGAGCCTGCTCCAGCTCCTCCAGCTCTTCCCGAGCGCTAGGCCCAATTGGCTCTGCGCTGGTCTCCGGGCCGACTTGTCGCGCAACTGGCATAAACCGTGACGACAGCCCTGCGGCAAGGCACGAGTGGCCTTCTCCTCTGCCAGGGTTAAGGTAAGGCCCACCGCCCTGGGGTGGGCGCCGTCCCCCTCATCCCCCGCAGCAGGCCTTAAAGAGAGCGCCTGGGCAAACCCAACCATCGCAGCCACCAAAGATACCCTTTCCCGATCCTTGGAACAGGACCCACCTGTGCCGGAGGTCGCGTCGCCCAACTCAGCAAAACGGGAGGAACTGTAAGCTCTGAGAGCTTGGGAGGCAGCCTTGCGCCCGCCTTTTGCTTTTTCCCAGAGACTCTTGGCCCCGCGCTCCCCTCCCCCAGTTCGCTCGGGCCCAGCAGCCGAGAGGCCCCGCCCCACTTCTTCCGGCCCAGTGCGGTGGGCGCCACTGCGCCCGGGACCGCGGCCGCGGCGGGGGCGTCCTAGAGCCTCCGATGCTCGAGGGTCGCGATGCGGTCCTGCGGCCGATCGCGTCGGTTTGACAGAGATGTGGAGCCGCGGGCGCAGAGAGAAAATAGACGGACCCGTAAAAGTGCGCTGCGCGTAAGCCCTGGGTCCCCTTGTTTGCAGTTTCACTGCTACTCTGGAATCCCCCCCCCCCACCGAGCTTGCTTATCGACCTTTTCTGGAACAAACGTATTCATAGCTGCTTATTGAGGTTTTCTGAAACAAAAATTCTTCCATTTCCTTGCACCACTTTCTTGAGCTTAAATCACATACTCACTGCTGGACTCCCACCAATTCATTTGAGCTACTTGAATCCACAGTCCAGGAACGATGCTTACAACAGTGAATAGTCAAAGGACACGAGTCATTAGGAATGCACATATTCTGCCTATAAGAATTCAAGAACAACACATATTACAAAAAAGACCAAAAGCACACCGAAATACTGTTTACAATTGAAATCCAGGACAGAGGAGAAAAAAATCGAGAACAAGAGCAAACAGAACGTACAGATATTTGAAAACGAGAAACTGAGCAGTACTACACTTATTAGACATAAAAAACAGTGTAATGTCAAAGGGTGATAAAGGAAATGGTTTGTAGAAATCAGAATCAACAAAAGAACGAAATGCTCACATATTTTTGCCCTGGAATTCTTTCTCTCAACTGCTCTACCGTTACTTGTTCTATTCCAAAAATACTGCTTGTTATTTTGACTCAATTTACATGTTACCTCCCCCAATCAATCGTTCTCTGTCTTCCCAGATAAATTTCTATTTTTTTCCAATGGATTCAATGTGCCCAATGGATCCAATACAAGCCTTCACTACAGCTATTTTCATTTTGGATTATAGCTTCTCCCTTTGCATGCCTTTGTCCCTCAGTGAACAAGTGGCCTCTTGAGACCACAGAAAATTACCATTCTTTGAATTTATAAGACCCTACACAAAACCTGACACATAGGATATATTTAGTTGATATTTCTTGAAAATTGTCTACAACAACTGATTAGACAGAAAAAAAGCCAAACCTACCATGTGAATGAATATACAGAGGACTAACTGAATAAGGTAAGATTCTACATTTACGCTGACATTCATGCAATTATTAATGAAGGCCTACTGTACATCAAGTGCTGTATTCGATTCTGGGTATAAAATGGTAAACAAAAAGCAAATAGAGTCCATGCCCTTACTGAATTTAAAGAACTGATAGAAATTACCCAGGTAAACAGGAAAAGGAACATTTCAGACTAAAGGAACATGATCAAAGGTCCTGTAATACGAAGGAGCATGACAGTAGCAATTGGAGTGAATAAGATCAATAAAGCTAAAGTGACATCAACAGATACAAAATACCCAGAAAGAGGCAGGAAATAGATTAAAGCCTGCTTAAGAATTAAAAAAGGAAGCCAGTTGCTTAAGAATTAAAAAAAGGAAGCCAGTTGCGTTAGAAATAATGACGCTTATTAAACCTGCTTTATATGCCAAATGCTGGGTTAAGTCTTTTATAAAACCACTTAAGGTAGTTAATATTATTTTCTCTGCTTTAGGGGTAAGGCAACTGGGGGCACAAATAAGTTGAGAATTTTCCCAGAATCACAGAGCAGTTAAATTTCAGAGGTGAGATCCAAACCTAGGTAATCTGGCTCCAAATCTGAAGACAGAAACTATAGTAAAAACTACAAATAACTCTTTCACAAAACATGTTCATTGTTCCCAGATAATGTAGCATCTAGGAGAAACAATACTAAGTGCTTCGAGAAACAATACCCTGGAGTCAAACTGTAATGCTCTAGACAGCAGACTTTAGCCGTTATTGGCAGTGGTAGTGGTGCCTTTGGTAAGTGATACCACCAAGCAACAATGATCGTGACATACGGCATCAGCAACAAGCCAGAGTAGATGAGGAAGAAAATAGATGTTCCAGGTGTTGCTTGGTGAGCCATACATGAGGCTTTAGGCACAGGACTTTACCTCTCTGACCCTCAATTTCTGGTTTCACAAATGGTCATGATAACAGTATCTATATGATAGGGTGCTGATGATTAAATAAAGCAATGTGTATAAAGTACCTAGCCGTGTCTGACATAGAGCAACTGCTCAATGAGTATTGGCTGCTATGACCATGATTTTTCATATCATAATAAAGCGTTTTAGTGACTGAAGGGAGGAAGGTATGACCAACCAGTTAAGATGTGGTTCAGGTACAATCAGAGGAAAGTACCATGGAATATCAGATAAATATTGAATGGGTGAAACAAAAGTTAATTTCCTCTACTTGGCATCAATTGCATTTTTAGTTAGCACTCACTATTGTGTTACAGTTGTCTCCTTGTTGATTTCTCTTATTACAATTTGTATGTGTTTGTGTGTGTGTGAAGTAGCTGACACTATCTAGCACAAAATGGAAACTTAAAAAGACATTTGTTGAATGAGTGAATTAATGTCTGAATAAAACCCAATAGGTACATATGTGCTCAAAATATTTACAAAATGGTAGTATCTGGGTCCTTTTATGACTTAACCACTAAGCCTTCCTTACTTTCCTAAAATACACCAGACTTGTTCCAGCTCTGCTTCCAAATATATAATCTGCTCAACTATTTGTCTCCTCCTGCACTGATACCACTTGAGGCCAAGGGTTAGCATTTTTTTTTTCTCTGTAAAGGGTCAGATAGTAAATATTTTAGGCTTTGTGGGACACATGCAATCTCTGTCTGTCACTACTCAATTCTGTCTTCATTGGACAAAAACAGCCACAGACAACACTTAAATCATGAGTATGAGTGTATTCCATTAAACTTTACTTACAAAAACAGGCAAGATATAGAATTTGGCCAGTGGGCTATGTAAGTTGACAACACTTCCCTAGACCAACTATAAGACTGATGTGTAGGAGCTCTCATCTTTGGCCAACATCTTTATCTTAGTTTTATCAGCATCTTAATGAAGCTTTCATGGTCTCCAAACTTGTTCATAACCTTAAGAGTTGAAAAATAATTCTAACTGTATATTGTGATTTTGAATCTTCATTTATCAAAATGGTCCTTACAAAAACCAGCTACTAGTGATCTTTTAAAAATTAAAAATATAATCAAGAAAAGAAAGAGGAGAACAGCCCAGGTGGCTCAGCGGTTTAGCGCTGCCTTCAGCCCAGGGCTTGATCCTGGGATCCTGGGATCGAGTCCCACATTGGGCTCCCCGCAGAGAGCCTGCTTTCTCCCTCTGCCTGTGTCTCTCTGCCTCTCTTTCTCTCTCTCTCTCTCTCTCTCTCTCTCTCTCTCTCTCTCTCTCTCTCCCTCTGTGTCTCTCATGAATAAATAAATAAAAACTTAAAAGTTAAAACTGAAAAAAAGAAAAGAAAGAGAAAAAGATTCGTATTAAAAGTTATCTTCATTATGTAAGTACAAGTGACTTCTAATCAGAAAATTTATATTCTGGACATAGTGCAATGTTGAATTTGGCTGAGATTTTGGTCTATGATAACAATTCTATATACTCTATACAGAAATAAGTAAATGCTGAAACTCAGAAATCATCTAGGCCATGCACATTTCTTATCATCTACTGCTGGAAAAAAATTGGTGAAACCTGAAAAGTGTATTAATTTGTGTCTGAAGATATGAACAGGGTATGAAAATTTCTGACTAAACAGAAATATGATTCAGCATAAACTCAGTAGCCTGTACAATAACGTTTGCAATGAAGAGGTATTTCATTAGTTGAAAGGGACAAAAACCTACCTTAGTGAAAAAGAGGTTTTTGAAAAGATAATGGGGTGTCTCATGAAATTTAAGTAACGGAACAATCAAAATTTGGAAAGGGCAAAGTACAGTTAGGCCTCAAGAATGGTCAAAACTGAGTATTCAAATGCCATTATGGCTCTATCATTCTTTTATCTGTATTCCCTCTGTACGTTTGTGCTTGCTCTCACTCTTTCTCCCTCCCTCCCTCTCTCTCTCTCTCTCTCTCTTTTCCCCTCTCTCTTTCTTTCTCTCTCCTCTCTCCAATCTCCTTTAAAAGCTTCCTTTGTTTCTCAAGTTCATGCAGTAGGGAACTTATTGTTATTGACACCTTCCTAAATTTTCATCTTACAGCTTCAACCATGGAGAGAGATACTATGCCACATTGGGTCCTCTGAAAAGCAGATGCCAATATGGAGTTACAAGTCCGAGATCTATAGTGGGTAATGACTAAGAAGATAAAGAGGAAGAGCAGGAGTAGGCAGGGATAGAATTCAGACCACAGTACAGGTCTGATACTTCTTAAAGGAGAAGAAATTAAGTAGAAATGAGTAGGAAATGCCTCAGCTTGCAGTGCAACTCTATGGAAGTCCCAGCCAGCCCCCCTTGGAACTCTGGAGCAAAGATCACTTATGATAAGAATCCCATGTTGGGCAAAAATGGCTCTAGTATCTCTTTTGTGCTCAGAAATTGCCTGGACATGCCTAGGATGGGAATGGCCTTGGATCAAATAATGCAAAAATATCCCCACAGTGCTACACCTGGAGGCTATTGTCTGACTCTACTGCTCACAGTAGGTTTTCTCTTGAAAGAAAGTCTGAAAGGCACCTGCCATAGACACTATGGGCCCATATGCATGAATCTGGGAGAGGAATTCACTGTCGAAGTTTAAATCTGGTGCCCATCCAAAGCCAATTAACTTTAGCTAAGTGAGTGATATCACATTATAATAAAGGGTGACCAACCATCCCAGTTTGCCTGAGACTGAGAGATTGCCTGGGATGTGAGACTTTGCTAAAACTGAGATACTGCAGGATAAACTGGGAAGTTGGTCATCCTAGTGTTACCCATGTTAATACGCATGGGAAAGGCATTGAAGGC